AACATCAGGAAGGAAAGGCCTTGGATTCTCCATTTTGCAGGCATCTCCCGTGGAGACCCGGGTATATCCCATTGGGACGTTACCCAGCATGGGTGTGTTTGTGTTGTGGGGCTCTGTGAGGGAGGGTTGTTTGAAGAGGGGCCCAAAGGGGAGGGGAAGTGCAGTGTTTAAGAGCAGGAGAGGGAGGTATGTCCAGCGTGGGACATTGGGAGCTGGCCTGAGATGAATGACATCCCCAACAAATGACACCTGAGAGATGAGGAAATGGGGAAAGGGGAATAGAGATGGGGCTGGATCCCGGGCCCCAGGGTCTGTGCTTGGTGTCACACCATAGAGACATAGACCTGTACCCGCGAGGATTCCCTTGCCCTGGTGAGCACTAGGGGCTGCCTCCTGAGCCTTCAGCTGAACTCCTGCGTTCCAGAGGGCTCGGAGAGCAGCAGCCGAGTGGGGAAGAGACTCCCCCGGGACCAGCGTCTCAGCCAGACGATGCCCCAGGCCCTGCAGCGCTGACCCTGCTGTCTCTGCCCAGGGCATTCTCCTGGCTTTGTTACCGAAATGTGCATTGCACACAGGGCAGGACTGAGGCCACCCAAGGCCCAGGCTCCACATGGTGTCATGGGGCCCCGCTGTGACCCTGCCCCACTGACAGTGGCTGTGAAAGGGGCAAGGCCGGCTCTGGCTTTTTTGCCGCCCCAGGCAAAAAAGCCTCCCCACCGCCCCGCGCGGCAGGGGAGGGCGCTGAGCCTGGCCGCGGGCCGCTCTCCCCAACCGGCCGGAGCGCTGGGGGAGGGCGGCGAGCCCGCTGCGGCTCCGCTCTCCCCGGCAGCCAGAGCGCCGGGGGAGGGCGGCGAGCCCAGTCACGGCCCCGCTCTCCCCGGCGGCCAGAGCGCCGGGGGAGGGCGGCGAGCCCACTGCAGCTCCGCTCTCCGCGGCGGCCGGAGCAAGAGCGCCGCGCCACGCCACCCCCCTCCAGGTGCCGCCCCAAGCACAAGCTTGGTGGCCTGGTGCCTGGAGCCGGCCCTGGAAAGGGGCCACGCACCCAAGGGCTGTCTGCTGCAGGTGGGGCCTGCAAACTTCTTTGACCAGGCAGGGGGTGTGGCTGGGGGCTCCCTCCCTTTGGGGACACTGGGAGCAGGAGCAGGGAGGTCCCCTCTCCCTAAGAAAGAGAGAGAGAGACAGGGAATCCCCCCTCCCTGCAGTACCGTCTCTCTTTTGGTGGGGGGAAGAGCTCTCCCCATCCTGCCACACACAGACTCCTCTGCGAGGGTACGGTTGTCAGGTTAATACCCCCAGAAACACATGGCGTCACCTCTCCTGGTGATTGGCTCAGGCTCTCTGCAGACTCAGAGAGGCGTCACTGTGTCTGTCACATTCGGGGCATGTTTAATTTGCAACACGGAGGGTTTGAAACATGCATTTTTAATGGATGCCAAGAGCCTGAGGTAATCACATGACTCCAGTAGCTGGGGTCTAGACATGGTCCTATAGGGCCTCTGCTTCCACTGACCCTGCCCCCTGCAGTCCCCGCCAATCAGCCAGGCAGACTAAAGGCTGTTATCACACACGATGCCCCTGAGGGTGAAACTCCAGGAAGCCCTGGGCCCTCTGAGGCAGGAGCTGGAGGAGGCCCTGGTGCTGGTGTCTGAAGAGGAAAAGAAAATCAGGGAGTGGCAGGTGGGTGTCTGGCTTCATTCTTCCCGGAGCCCGTCCCCCTGCAGCGTTCCTGGGGATGTGGGGCTGTAAAGCTGCAGGCTGAGGTTATAACCTGCTCT